TATATATATATATATATATATATATATATATATATATATAGACACACACACACACAAGCGCACGCACTGCACACACACACAGAGTTATACATACATACATACATACACATGCACACATACACACACACACACATGCATTGTGCACACACGCGTCTTTTGTTGTTATTTTTTTTTAATATTTTTTGATTATTTATTAATTATTGTTCTTTTCTTTTTTTGATTAGATATTATTCATTTATTGTGTTATTCAATTTGTTATTGTTTAGTTATTGTGATTGTCCACTTATTACTATTCGATAAAATTAATTTTATTATCATGTTTGTTAAATATAGACCACAATATGATGATAATGATTATAATTTATATTATGAATTAAACTGATTTGATATATCGTAGTTTTTTATTAGAGAAAAATATATTTTATAAAGATTTTCAAATTAAAGAGTAGAAGAGTAAAACTAAAAATTAATTTGTTTTCAGACGTCAGCTCTATATAGTTATCAAACGCTTGGTTCCATTCAATACTTAAATTTCAGTTAGTACAAAACAGTGCATGATTCAAACTTCAGTTTTTACTTTTCAGATTTCAACTTTCAATTTTATCTAACACCACCTAAATCATTATAATTTGGATAAATTACATTTTACCTCTTAAACTATTACTCTTATTTTACTTTATACCCTCAATTATAAAATTTTTGACATTGCACCCTAAAGTATTAATTTTATTTTATATCACTCTAATAAATAACAACTGTCAAATTTTTGATAGTAAATGTGCATGTGAGTGGTTTGTACAGTCAATATGCAACTATCTATTATATATATGCAGGTCAAAAATCAAGAAAAATACTTATCCATGACTTTGTCCTTCTTAAAATTCAATTTTTTTTTCTTCTAACAGACTTTCTTTTTCTTCTCAACAATCATTTAATTGTAAAAGAGATAAAATAAAGTGGTACCCTCACTTGACAAGAAGCTCTTTAGGATTTTCCTCCCCCTTTGATTGATTTTCAAGTTTGTCATTATCTATTAAAGTGATATGAAACAAAATTGGTACTTTAAGGTGCAATGTGAGAAATTTTATAATTGAGGGTGCAAAGTGAAACAAGAGTAATAGTTAAGTGTGGGACAAACTGTAATTTGCTCTTATAATTTCTTGATTTGATTTCTCTTTTGTTGTTTTACACTGGGCCTAGCAGTTCCGTGTGATATATGTAAAATATTGGACATATAAAAACCACATACTCTGTGTTACATGGGGATTTTGATCCCGTCAAATACATTTTTTCCNAGGTAACATAGTGCCTTCAGGCACAAACAATAACTAGTGTATATATATATATATATATATATATATATATATATATACACACACACAAGCGCACGCACTACACACACACAGAGTTATATATACATACATACACATGCACACATACACACACACACGCATTGTGCACACACGCGTCTTTTGTCGTTATTTTTTTTTAATATTTTTTGATTATTTATTAATTATTGTTCTTTTCTTTTTTTGATTAGATATTATTCATTTATTGTATTATTCAATTTGTTATTGTTTAGTTATTGTGATTGTCCACTTATTACTATTCGATAAAATTAATTTTATTATCATGTTTGTTAAATATAGACCACAATATGATGATAATGATTATAATTTATATTATGAATTAAACTGATTTGATATATCGTAGTTTTTTATTAGAGAAAAATATATTTTATAAAGATTTTCAAATTAAAGAGTAGAAGAGTAAAACTAAAAATTAATTTGTTTTCAGCTCTATATAGTTATCAAACGCTTGGTTCCATTCAATACTTAAATTTCAGTTTGTACAAAATAGTGCATGATTCAAACTTCAGTTTTTACTTTTCAGATTTCAACTTTTAATTTTATCTAACACCACCTAAATCATTATAATTTGGGTAAATTACATTTTACCTCTTAAACTATTACTCTTATTTTACTTTATACCCTCAATTATAAAATTTTTGACATTGCACCCTAAAGTATTAATTTTATTTTATATCACTCTAATAAATAACAACTGTCAAATTTTTGATAGTAAATGTGCATGTGAGTGGTTTGTACAGTCAATATGCAACTATCTATTATATATATGCAGGTCAAAAATCAAGAAAAATACTTATCCATGACTTTGTCCTTCTTAAAATTCAATTTTTTTTTCTTCTAACAGACTTTCTTTTTCTTCTCAACAATCATTTAATTGTAAAAGAGATAAAATAAAGTGGTACCCTCACTTGACAAGAAGCTCTTTAGGATTTTCCTCCCCCTTTGATTGATTTTCAAGTTTGTCATTATCTATTAAAGTGATATGAAACAAAATTGGTACTTTAAGGTGCAATGTGAGAAATTTTATAATTGAGGGTGCAAAGTGAAACAAGAGTAATAGTTAAGTGTGGGACAAACTGTAATTTGCTCTTATAATTTCTTGATTTGATTTCTCCTTTGTTGTTTTTCACTGGGCCTAGCATTTCCGTGTGATATATGTAAAATATTGGACATATAAAAACCACATACTCTGTGTTATATGGGGATTTTGATCCCGTCAAATACATTTTTTCCAACTTTATCTTCAATAATAGATCACCCGACATGGTTTTAAGTGAAACCCACTACATATGAGTAGGTCTCAAACCAATATACTATGGATAAATCTAGAATACTCTAGATTTGTCATAGTGGACTATATCAAATTAGATACACCAGACTCATGAAAAGAAATTGATCGATTTCATTTACCGAAAAAAGGCAAGATTTCACTTACCAACAGAAAACAATTGAATTTTCGACACTTTCTCATTCTTTATGTTAAAGTTAAATGGTCTACAATAAAAAATCATAAAATTGTCTGGTCGTACTAAACTCCGGGTGAGACTATTATTACGCACAAATATCCATTCCACCTAATTTGACTTCTTCAAAAAAAATTATTAACCCTATCCCATTTTATACGCAACTTATAATAATTAAACTACCCTTATGCTAAACACACCCTTAGCATGCTAAATATATTTGATTCTCACTTCCATATACATTTTTAGCATAAAGATCTTCATCTTACCCCTTTTTTGAAATCGCTTATATTTAGCCTTTCATGTATACTAAGAAGAGTTGTAAGCTGAGAATGTAACTCCTCCAAGCATGGGTGATAATGTGTGTTTTCTAACTAACAAACACTTGGGAAAATAATTATTTTGGCCTAAGGCTCTGTGGAAGTTTTGTTTCTTTAAAAGCGGTGAAGGTTTAAATGATAAAAGACTCTGAAATTTGATCTTCTGAGCATATTATAAAAAAAAAAAAAGGCTTTGAATAACCAAAAATTAAAAAAAACCTCAATTTTATTTTTTCTGCCTTCATT